TTTAGTTCAGTTGGTAGAGTGCTTGCTTTGCAAACACAAGGCCTTGGGTTTAATCCCCAGCACCACAAAAAAGAAAAAAAAAAAAAGTTAAAAGACCACTCTTAGGGATCTACCCAAAAGAATTAAAAACATGTCTCAAAGAAAAACTCAAACACAAATTTTATTCACAATAGCCAAAAGACAGACCCAACCCCATTTCCCATAAACAGATGAATGGTGAACATAATGGTTAATCCACACATGGAATATGACTCAGTCATAAAAAGATTATGATGTTCAGGGTGCAGCAGTGCATGCCTGTGACCCCAGCTACATAGGAGGCTAAAGCAGGAGGATCTCAAGTTCAAGGCCAGTCTGGGAAGTTTTATGAGACCCTATCTCACAATTTAAAAGAGAAAGTAAAAAGAGCAGTGGGGGCTGGAGTTATGACTCGGTGGTAGAGCATTTACCTAGAGTGTGTGAGGCACTGGATTCGATTCTTAGCACTACATTAAGTAAATAAATGAATAAAATAAAAATATTGTGTCCAACTACAACTAAAAAAAAAAAAAAAAGAGCAGGGGGTGTAGCTCAGTGGTAGAATGCCACTGGGTTCAGTCTCCAGTATCATGAAGAAAAACGAAGTTAAAGTAGGAAATTGCCAGGTGTGGTGTTGAACACCTGTAATTCCAGTGACATTGGAGGCTTGGGCAGGAAGATTGCAAGTTAAAGTCAGTCTGGGTAACTTAGCAAGACCGTGCCTCAAAAAAAAAAAAAAAAAGTGTTGGGGATGTAACTCAGTGGTAGAGTGCTTGCCTAACAGGCACAAGGCCGTGGGTACCATCCCTAGCACTGCAAAAAAAAAGAAAAAAAAGTACGGTTATAGCTCTGACAAAATTAATTTCACTGCTTCTAGGCAAGGTGTTGAGTTATAGGGGACTTGCTATCTTTTCCAGAACATTCATTAATGCTGTTATAATTCATGCCTTTTTCTCATAATAAAGAAAATCATGTAATATCTCCCCAAAGGAAAACTATTATGCAATTTAGTGAGTGTTGACTGCAGGGACAAGATGACTATGGTATCTGCACACACTCAGGATGCTACACACTTGCACAAACATGTGAACAAGAGGAGACACAGGGGTGGGTATCAGAATACAAGATGAAGAAACATCTCAATTGGATGGTTAAGAAAGTGCAGGCATTTCTACAGATAAGGCGGTTCATTGTCCCCTTAAAGGGCAGTTTCAATAAAAAAGAAGTCAATGAAAAAGAAGGTAAGGGTGTGTGACATGCTCATGTGGGTGTAAAACCCCCATCCAAACACTATCTCTTTGCACAGACCTCTAGAGAGCACACGCAGGGAGTTGGCAGTGGCCAGGCTCCCAGAGGGGAAGGGAGGAGCTGCCTGCTGTCTCTGCTCTGCTGCCACTGGGGACTGCTGGGGTTTGTGAAGGCAGGCATGGTTCCAGAAAACAACCATGATGAATAGCGCGTCCCAGAGGTGGCCTACCCTGCATCAGCTGCCGCTGCTCCTGGATGACCTGCTCACAGAGCAGCCGGTGCTGGTGGTAGCGCTGGATCATAAAGTCTTTCTGGCACAGCAAGTTCTTCCAGTACAGGCTGTTGGCCTGCAGCTCCGTGTTCTCCACCTCTAGCTCGTGGGCCCTGCACAGCAGCCTCAGCACCTCCCGCTGGTCCTCACTGGTGACTTGCTCAGGCAGCAGCTTCTCCATCTGTGAGGCTTTCTGCTTGGCATGGGCCAGGCGTTGCTCCAGCCCGGCCTGAGGAAGACACTGAGGACTCAGGGAGGACATGGGACCCTGCCAGCCATGGCCGCTCATTCCTATGTGCCAAGGTCTACTAATCACGCTCAGGAGACACACAGTGGTAGGCTCTAGGATGTGCCACTGTCCCCTAGACTTTCTGTCCTCCACTTTCTGCATTCTGACACTTTGACACCTGGGGCCTCACTGATCCTGGAGTGGCAGCCCCTCTCAGCCTCGCCAACTTCTGGACAAGGCAAATGACTCATCCATGAGTTCTCTCTGTGGGACTCTCACACCCTGGTTTACATTCCACCTACCCTAATCTCCCCAGAGCTCGTACTAGACAACTAGGACAGCCCCTAGGCCCAAATTTTCTAGCCAGTCAATCCTAAACCTTACTAGCCTTCCTTGACTGTTTCTTCCTGCAGAAACCACAGTGAAGGCCCTGGTCATGTTGCTTTTCCTGCCTCTTAACCCACCCTGGTGCCCCCCATGTGGCCCTGCATGGCACAGCAAGCCCCTCTTCTTGGGAACCACGAGTAGCAAACTTTTTAATGGCCGTCATCTCTTGATCCGTCAGCCCCACTGAACCTCAAGTTTTCTATTGACACGTTGTGTTTTAGCTATAGCACCAGGGCTCACCACTCACCATGTGCCCAAGTGTTGCCATGGGAAACAGAGAATCCCACTTTCACGCTGTGGAGCAGCCCCTACTTCTGTCGTATGATGGATGGTCCACAGCCAAGGTTCTGGGTCTCCCAAACCAAGCAGCACATGAGAGGAAGCAGGAAGGGCTGAGGCCTGGCTCCTCCACTATACGCCCACAGACTGCTGTCCCCCTTGTAGGAAATGGGCTGGAAGCCCTGTCAGAGTTCTCCAGAGAAACTGAACCCACAGAAGTCCCATACAGATATAGACATATGTTGTGTACATGTCTATGCACATGTGTGTATATATACTAAAGTCAACTGAGTGCATATGCTAACCAGGCCTACAAAATACCTTCAGAGCAACACCCAGTGTTTGATGGCATCACTGCATCCTGTAGCCTGAGGGTAACCATCATACCTCACAATTCCATCCAGGTAATAACCATCAAAGTAACCATCATACCTCACAATTCCATCCAGGCCCCCAGAGAGTAACATGTGGGCCAAGCCACCTGGTGAGCCCAGAATCAAGGTCCCCACTAATGGGTCAGATGACAGTTTCCAAAGCACTGAGGAGCTGCATCTGGCCACCTGCTTAATTGGGATCAACAGGGGACCACATTGGAGGAGTTGGCCCAGCTCCCCAGCTGCTCTCCTCCTACTGGGCATTACTCTTTTCCTGAAGACCTCCCTGACTCCCAGGCTACACTAACAGTCCCTCCCCTCCCTCACTTGCCCCTGTTCCTGCATTGTTGCTGTGCTGCTGTACTGAACTGCCATGCTGTCTCTTCCCACTAGGTGCGAGCACAAATCATAGAATGTGTCTTGTTCATCTTTAGGTCCCTAGGGCCTGTCATTAACGACACTTAAAACATTGATTTGAGTTGATTAACTGTTAACTAAGTAGTCAAGTAACAGACTTATCATTTACAGACTCCATTGCATATCAATATTCATGCTTGTTCTTGAAGCCATGCTTTCTTGTTGATGCATATTAGTGGCTCAGGCAGAAACCATTTTTCTTATTTTTTAGAAGTTGGAGGAAATCCAACTTTGAATTTTGAAGTGAAATTGCACGATCCCCATGCTGCAGTCAGATGTGGTAGTATCAAGTTCTTGGTTTGGTTCATAGCTTCTAAGTGAAATAAATCCTACCTGCTCGTAACAACATGATGTCATCAGACACTTTTTGCACTGCCTGAGAAGATACCTGCAAGCATTTACTAACGAGCTGCAACAGTACATGCTTCTGAGGAATCTCCAATATGCACCAGTTCAGCAATTTTCCTGAAGTGAGACTATTAGATAACCAGCTATTATATAAACAGCTCAAACGTGAAAAGACTTCCATCTCCGGAGAGGAACTTGAATGTGGCTTCCTTCTGATGGTGCCCCTGGTCCTTGCATGATATGCCCAAGACCAGAATCAGGGGAGGAATGAGCCAGATGCCCATGGAATCACTCTGCAAACTACAAAGTGTTCGCTCTGCATGGAGGTTATTGCAAAGGGAATGAGCGAGCTTTGCCATTCCAGGGTGTCCAGAGAAGGCGAGGCGGGCAGAGTCTCAGTGGAGCAGACTCTGCCACTCCTGCCCCACTTTCACACACACAGGCTTCCTGCCCTGAGCTCCCCCTTCACTTCCTGGGGCAGCAAAACTCCTCAGGAGGGGGCAAAGGCATTGGGTCAGACCAGGTCAGGTCCCAGCTCTGCTCCTTCAGTTTACTCAATACATCTTTTTTTCTCCTGCTGTACCACTGAGCAACATCCCTAGTCACTTCTATTTTTATTTATTTTTATTTTTTGAAAGAGAGAATTTTAATATTTAGTTAGTTAGTTAGTTATTGGCAGACACAACATCTTTGTTTGTATGTGGTGCTGAGGATCGAACCCGGGCCGCACGCATGCCAGTCGAGCGCGCTACCGCTTGAGCCACATCCCCAGCCCCTCTATTTTTATTTTGATATAGGGTTTCACTAAGTTGCTAGCCTCAAACTTTCAATCCTCCTGCCTCAGCCTCCCAAATTGCTGAGAGTACAGGTGTGCGCCACCATGCCTGACTTAATTTATATCTGCACCTCAGTTTCTCATCTCTAAAATGATTGTGATTGACTTTATTCCATGGGATGAGCTCATGTTCACAAAGAGCCCACCCATCCATTGGTTCATAAGCACCATCCCCGCTTCCATGAAAATGCTGCGTCTCTCTCCCTCACCTTGAGGGCCGCAGTTTTCCGCTGCTCAGCTAAAAGCAGGGCGACTTCCTCTCTGGCCAGAACCACTTCATGCGGCTCCACAGACTCGCCCTCATCCACATCAGCATCTGCAGGCTCCTCATCCTTCTCTGGGTCACCCTTGTCCTTGTGCACGTGGTGGTGGGTCTTCTCCCGTTCCCAGCTGTAGCATGGCAGAGGGGACAGAGTGCAAGCCAGGGAGTCCTGGTGCCTCATGTCCCAGAGCCTTTCTTGGCCCCAGCTGGCTACCTCACAGGTGTGGACATGAAAATGGAGCAGAATTGGATCTTCTGTATGATCTTTTCTCTACATATGATTCCCTCCCTGCTTGCCCAGGACTCCCTACAGCCACCTTGACTTTAAATGTGCCCCTGCTGAGCCTCAGTTTCCTCACTATAAAGCTGTATAAGGGGGGCTAGGGTTGTAGCTCAAAAGTAGAATTCTTGCCTAGCATGTGAGAGGCCCTGAATTCAATTCTCAGCACCACATATAAATGAATAAATAAAATAAAGATCCATCAGCAACTAAAAAAAAAAAAATTTAAAAGCTGGATGATGACAGCCTGCAGGTTCTGGGGCTCTGTGATGATAACTGTGACAACTCAGGGCTCTGTGCAAGGTGCCACATTAAATCTAAACAGGAGGATCCCATGGAAACTATGCAAGAAAGAGGGATAAAGGGAGTCAGGGCAGAAGATATCTGGCCAGAGAGGGACAAGACTGTGAGCACGTTTTTAAAATCTAGAATTCCTCTAATATAAGTCTTGTACTGTTTGTGTCATTGAAAAAAAGAAAAGAAAAGAAACAGAAAGGAAGGAGAATAAATACGGGTAGAACTGGAAGTAGAGGGTAAAGGAAAGAAATGAGTTTAAATCCCAGGGCTGTTTTAAATGACCCACAGTGGGTAGCTGTGTGTCCTAGTTTGTCCAGGGCAGTTGAGGGGATACCTCTTGTTCCAGTGTAATGGTAAATAGTGCCCCTTTTGCCCCCAAATTGTGTCCTAGGTTAGATGATGGATGTCATGGTCAGTCTCTAATGTGGTCACTCTCCCCTCAGCAGGGATGGACAGGGAGCAAGCGTGCAATGGGAGAAAGAGCTGAGGCCCAGGAGAAGTGACACCATCTGCAAGCTGATAGCTCTCTAGGACTCTTCCAAAATTGGTGTTGATCCTTGCCAACCCTCAGGGATGACCCTGAATCACAGCTTATGAGAGAACAAAGGGGTCTGGAAGTTTCTCCTACCTGGCTCTGCTTAGCCACTGGAGCAGAAGAGTAGGGGGTGAATGGGCAAAGGAGACTGACCTTGGCTGATATCCTTCTGGGGCAACACAGGCAGGAGAGGATGTATGGGGCTCCCACCAGTGGTCCCCACTACCTCAGGCGGGGACCCCTGCCCAGGAAAGACAGTGCAGGGTGTGTAGGATACACAGCAGGCAGCCACACTCACTCTGCGATGGTCAGCAGGTGGCGAGACATGTCCATGTGCAGCTCGATGTTGGTGTTTTCCAGCTCCACCAGGCTGCACCGCATCTCCATCTGCTCCTTGAAGGCCCCGATGAGTTGTGCCCGGATCTTATTCATCTGCAGGCGGCTGTCCTCCTCTGTATCGTGGGGGGTGATTGTGACTGCAGGCAGGAAGGGGGATGGCTGTACCAGGAGCAGTTTGGCTGAGCCAGGGTTGAACCCCATGCTCACCCACCATGGAGGGGAGTGATACAAGTGTGGATGAATGGAAGATGGCTGGCTGGGTGGGTGGACGGATGGTTGCCTGGATGAATACACATGTGTGTGGGTAGAAAGATGAGTAGGGCCTGGGCACAGTGGGCACCACCTGTAATACCAGTAATTTGGGAGGCTGAGATAGGAGGATTACAGATTGGAAGTCAGCTTGGACAACTTAGTGAGGCCCTACGCAACTTAGCAAAATTCTGTCTCCAAATAAAAAAATAAAAAGGGCTGGGGATGTGACTCAGTGGTTAAATCCCCAGTATTCCCTGCAGGGAGTGGGCAAGGAGGAAGGAGGAGAGGAAGGAGGAGACAAAGGAGGAGAAGGAGGAGAAGGACTGGTAAGTAGGAGGGTGCATGGATGTGTAGATGGATGGATGGTTATTCTGATAGATAAATGGATAGATGACTTAGAAGGATTAAAACCCTCTCTTTATCTGGTTTCTGGTCAAGTGTTTGGCATTTGAGTCTCAGTAATTCAAAGAGGGGCAAGGTTGGGCTAGCCATTCTAGTCTAGACCTTATTTTCTCAGCAAAACCCTGCCAGATCCTTACTCTGCATCTGCCCCTTGCTCTGATAACACCCTGGCTTCTCCATCACAGTCCTCTACATGTCTGTAATTAGGTGGTATTTTGTAATAAATACTTCATATCTGTTTTCCTTCTAGACTGTGAGCTCCACAGAGCAGGAGGAAACTTATGCTTTCTGTTTCAGTGATAGATTCTTACCTAATAGTTAACTAGTAATTAATCTTTGGCTTTTTGTTTTTGTTTTTGTTTTCTCACGTTGCTGGAGATTGAACCCAAGTCCTCATTCAGGCCCTGTGGTCTTCCCACAGGGTAGCTGTGCCCCAGTAGGTAGCTGCACTCTAATTTATGTAATTTGTTGCCTGTCCCCATGACCTAAATATCAAGGAGTCTGAATTAATGAAATAAATCGTGATGTGTCCAGAGGAGTCATTACAACCATACCAGCAAGATTTGGGAGCACGGTACCCCAGATAATGCTCATGAAGTAATGTTCCAGAGTCCACACATCAGTGCCCCACAGCACAGCAGGACCTAAGGGGAACTTGTCATGACCTCAGGTCAGCAAGAGACCACCTTAGACCAACTCTAATAAATAAGAGCCAGCAGAGAAATTATCATGGTGTGACTCTCTGTCGACCACTGGCCCCAGAGCCCAAGCTTCTTGATAATTATCTAGCTTAGTGAATTCTCTGCAACATCACACTTCCTATTCTACTCACCCCCAAGTCCCTCTGGCCCTCAAAGTCTCACTGGCCCAGGGAATTTAGCCTGTCGTCAATTGCAGCATCCCTTCTTTGAGTTCCCTTCACCAGCTCTGCTGCTTCATCAGAATTCTCACCTTTCCAGAACAGATCCTCTGTTCTCAGGGTAGCTATGACCCACAAGCCCCAGAGTGCCCATCTCAGAGCTGGAATGAGCAAGCTGGGATGCCGCCTATGGAATGTGGTATTATGAAGGGTGGGGTGGGATATCATGCAGACAGATGACCCCCAGCTATGTGGCTGGGGAAGAAGCATGTAAAGAAAAGTAGCTACTAGCAGGGCTTGGTGGCACACAACTGTAGTTCCAGCAACTTGGAGGCTGAGGCAGGAAGGTAACTTGGGCCCTAGGGTTCAAGACTAGCCTGGACAACACAGCCAGATCCCATCTCAAAGGAAAAAACTTTAAAAATATACAGGAGAATTGTGTAGGTTGTATGCTAATATTATGCCATCTTACACAAAGGACGGAACATCTGAGGACTTGTATATTTAGGGGGACTGGAACCGATTCTCCTCAAATACAGAGCAATGATTGTATTCACATGAGCAATATGAGAACATATTTTTATTGTTAAAATTTCAAATAATACATCAAGAGTCAAAAGACCCTCTTGATCATCTGATCACCTTCTCTTTCAGACCAGTCCCCTCCTCACCAATAACCATGGTTATCATGGTTTCAGGTCTTTCCTCTGCAAGGTTGTGACATGGGCGTGTCTATGAAGTTAAATGTGGTTTTGTGTTTGGCTTTGGGTGTTCATTTATAGCATCAGACGGTGGCCCTATTCCTTCCCATGCTTCTCCCCAGCTATGTGTCTGGGGGCTATCTGTCTGCATGATGTTCACCCTATCCTACGAAACAGGCACAGAGCATTCCATAGGAGGCCACCCCAGCATTCTCATTCTAGCCCTGAATGATGGGTATTCTGGGGCTCGCTGGTCACAGCTTCCCTGAGCACAGAGGGCCTGTCCTCTCTGAGAGGCATGAAGGGGCTAACTGCTAGGTTTGTGCTCACCAGGGCTCCCAAAGACACACATTAACACACACTCTTGTGTTAATCCAATCCCATTTTACAATCCCAATAACACTGCTTAAGGCTATCTTTCCACACTTGATTTTACATTATTTTATATTCTCTATTTAATAAATATTTGTTTCCTGGCATTTTTTACAAAATATTTTTTATTGTAGATGGGAAAAATATTTTTATCTTATTTATTTATTTTTAGGTGGTGCTAAAGATTGAACCCAGTGCCTCATACATGGTAGGCAAGTACTCTACCACTGAGCTATAGCTCCAGCCCATGTTAACTGACATGTTAATTTTAGCTGGTCTGAGAAGTGAAAAATGAGAAGTGAAACTTATTTCCAACTTGTATCTCTGCTTTCTAGTGCATTTGAGTATCTTTCCATATGTTTACTGTCACTAAGAATTCTTCTATGAGCTGGGCATGGTGGTGCATGCCTATAATCATAGTGGCTTAGGAGATTGAAATAGGAGGATTGTGAGTTCAAAGCCAGCCTTAGCAGTGGTGAGGTGCTAAGCAACTGAGACCTTGTCTCTCTAAATAAATTACAAAATAGGGCTGGGGATGTGGCTCAGTGGTCGAGTGCCCCTGAGTTCAATCCCTAGTATCAAAAAAACAACAAAAAAAAAAACACCACCACCTACTTCTGGGGGGTGGGGCATGGGAGGATTAGATGAACTCTAGATAGGGCAAAGGGGAGGGAGGGGAAGGGAGGGGTCATAGGGGTAGGAAAGATGGTGAAATGAGATGGACATCATTACCCTAAGTACATGTATAAAGACATGAATGGGGGGGCTGGGGATGTGGCTCAAGCGGTAGCGAGCTCGCCTGGTGTGCGTGCGGCCCGGGTTCGATCCTCAGCACCACATACCAACAAAGATGTTGTGTCCACCGAGAACTAAAAAAATAAATATATTAAAAAAAAAAGACATGAATGGTGTGACTCTAATTTGTGTACAACCAGAGATATGAAAAACTGTGCTTTATATGTGTAACATGTAATACATTCTGCTGCCATATATAACAGTTAAAATAAAAAATAAAAAAATAAATTCTTCTATAAATTGACAGTGCTTTGCTCCTTTTTAAAAATTGAGTCACTTATTCTTTTTTTTAATATTTATTTATCAGCTTTTTAGGTGGACATAATATCTATATTTTATTTTTATGTGGTGCTGAGAATTGAACCCAGTGCCTAATGCATGCTAGGCGAGCACACCACCACTTGAGCAACATCCCCAGCCCCCATTTACTCTTTTTTATTGATTTTAGAAGTTTTTTATAAATTTTGGCAAGTCATACTTTCTTTTTTAATATCTTTATTTTGTTTATTTATTTGTATGTGGTGCTGAGGATCGAACCCAGAGCCTTGCATGTGCTAGGCAAGTGCTCTACCACTGAGCCACAACCCCAGCCCTAAGACATA